CCCTCGATTGGCTACTTTTCCCACATACCATATTGCCTGACAGTCACAAAGGATGGGAAAAGGAGAATACAAGTGCTCTCTAGCTGAGAATCTACCCTTGGTAAAACTGAGTAGCCTGGGACAGAGATTACTGAAGTTAAATGTAGTACTTGTGAAGAACTTCGGTGTGTTATGGGATATGAAGATGGTGAAGGCAGAAATGAATGAGTTAAGCAAGTCATGTTCCAGGATGAAAGGAATATTGACAAGAGTAAAGGAACACAAAAACAAAAACACAGATTTTATACAAGCCTGCATGGCATGTAACTGGAGGACAGTCCAATGGGGATTTGGCCCCAACTGATCTTTCCACTTTATCTTCCTAGACTTTTTTTGTTTTTCATTTACTTCATATTTCTATCTACTGGCATCACCCTCTGTTTTTTGAATATTGGTCTTCATGCCTTCCCACCTCCATGCCCTTGTTCACAAGTTTCCCTCTGCCTGAAAACAAAACAAAACAAAGAAAAATCTCCTCTGATTAAGGAGTCAATCCCATTTACAATTGCACCCAAAACCATAAGATACCTAGGGATATACCTAACCAAAGAGGCAAAGAATCTGTATTCAGAAAACTATAGAACACTCATGAAAGAAATTGAGGAAGACACAAAGAAATGGAAAAACCTTCCATTCTCATAGATCGGAAGAACAAATATTGTTAAAATGTCTATGCTACCTAGAGCAATCTACACATTCAGTGCAATCCCTATCAAAATACCATCCACTTTTTTTCACAGAACTGGAACAAACAATCCTAAAATTTGTATGGAACCAGAAAAGACCCCGAATAGCCAGAGGAATGTTGAAAAAGAAAAGCAAAGCTGGTGACATCACAATTCCGGACTTCAAGCTCTATTACAAAGCTGTCATCATCAAGACAGTATGGTACTGGCCCAAAAACAGACACATAGATCAATGGAACAGAATAGAGAGCCCAGAAATGGACCCTCAACTCTATGGTCAACTACTCTTTAACAAAGCAGGAAAGAATGTCCAATCGAAAAAAGACAGTCTCTTCAACAAATGATGTTGGGAAAATTGGACAGCCACATGCAGAAGAATGAAACTGGACCGTTTTCTTATACCATACACAAAAATAAACTCAAAATGGATGAAAGATCTAAATGTGAGACAGGAATCCATCAAAATCCTAGAGGAGAACACAGGTAGCAACCGCTGTGACTTCAGCCACAACAACTTCTTCCTAGACACATCTCCAAAGGCAAGGGAAACAAAGGCAAAAAGGAACTATTGGGAGTTCATCAAGATAAAAAGCTTTTGCACAGCAAAGGAAACAGTCAACAAAACCAAAAGACCATCAACAGAATGGGAGAAGATATTTGCAAATGTCTTCTCAGATAAAGGGCTAGTATCCAAAATCTGTAAGGAACTTATCAAACTCAACACCGAAAGAACAAATAATCCAATCAAGAAATGGGCAGAAGACATGAACAGACATTTCTCCAGAGAAGGCATCCAAATGGCCAACAGACACATGAAAAAGTGCTCAACATCCTTCGGCATCAGGGAAATCCAAATCAAAAGCACAATGAAATACCACCTCACACCAGTCAGAATGGCTAAAATTAACAAGTCAGGAAACGAGAAAAGGGAACCCTCTTATACTGTTGGTGGGAATTCAAGTTGGTGCAGCCACTCTGGAAAACAGTTTGGAGGTTCCTCAAAAAGCTGAAAATAGAGCTACCCTATGACCCAGCAATTGCACTACTGGGTATTTACCCCAGAGATACAAATATAGTGATCCAAAGGGGCACCTATACCCCAATGTTTACAGCAGCAATGTCCACAATAGCAAAACTATGGAAAGAGCCCAAATATCCATTGACAGATGAATGGATAAGGAAGAGGTGGCATATATTTATATGGTGGTGGTACATACACACACACACACACACACACACACAATGGAATACTACTCAGCCATCAAAAAAATGAAATCCTGCCATTTACAACGATGTGGATGGAACTAGAGGGAATTATGCTAAGTGAAATAAGTCAATTAGAGAAAGACAATTATCATATAATCTCACTCATGTGTGGAATTTAAGAAACAAAACAGAGGATCATAGGGGAAGACAGGAAAAAATAAAACAAGATGAAATCAGAGTGGGAGACAAACCATAAGAGACTTTTAATCATAGGGAACAAACTGAGGGTTGCTGGAGGGGAGAGAGGTGGGGGGATGGGGTAACTGGATGAAAGACAATAAGGAAGGCACGCAATGTAATGAGCACTGGGTATTATATGAGACTGATGAATCACTGATCTCGACCTTTGAAACCAATAATACATCATATGTTAATTAATTGAATTTAATTTAAATTTTTTTTTAAAAAAAAACAGAAAAATCTCCTCTATTTCATCTTTTTGTAATGACCAAATTTTTAAGAACTAACTCTAATGCTGCTCCATTATAAAGTATTTCTCCTATCAGAAGATATCCTTCTTCTTCTGAGCTTTCACATCACTGAATTTATTTTTAAAAAATAGTAAGAGATCCTCTTTCAATTATGCTGTCCACTGAAAGAAAGCCAGCCTCATGGTAGGTTAGTCAATGCCTTATTCATTGTCTCCCTGAGGACTATAGCCTGGGACAGTGTTTCAGATTGCTCTGAAGAACTGCTTCAAAGCTTGTGAGCTACAGCGGACTATAGATACAAAAGGGAAAGGGTACATACCCTTTGTTCTCCAAATACTTGCACATCACAAGGTATAATTCAGTTGTAAAAATATATATACAGTTGTAAAATGTAATACAGTTGTAAATATAATACAGTGTTAAAAATAATGGTTTTTCTGCTTTCTAAACAGACACAAGAAAGACCCTTAGGTCATCTTAATACATTATGTTTCTATTATATCTGATTGTTTAAAAATATTGTATGCATGCCTCTACTTAACTGATTTTCCAGTTCTTCCTATTCTTGATTTCTCCTTGCGATCACCTGAGACAATCACACAAGGCTGACATAGTCACCTACTGCAGTTTTAGTGCACAGTGCATCACTGGGTATTTATTTTTACTTTTTATTCTAGGTCTTAAATTCTAAGAGCTGTGAGGACAAACGTCCTACTGACTTAAGATATTAACATGGGTTGGGTGTAGAGGAGGAGAATGTTTCAGAGATGGCAGAACCAAAAAATGCCAATTTATAGCCCTGAACTTTTGCCTGATACTAAGGCAAAGTTTACTTAAATGCTTTTTTTTTTTAAGATTTATTTATTTATTTGTCAGAGAAAGAGAGAAAGAGCATGAACAGGGCAGCCTGTTCATGGAGTGGCAGGCAGAAGGAGAAGCAGGCTCCCCAAAGAGCAGGGAGCCCAATGAAGGACTCCCTGAGCCAAAGACAGTCGCTTAACCGACTGGGCCACCCAGGCATCCCCTTAAATGCTTTTTTTTTTTTAATTTAAATTTCTTTTTTCCCCCTTCTTTGCTTATTCTCACTCATGTTTGCCATGAGGAGAACATAGTGCACAAGGCTGGGAGAAAATTTTGCAAATGTGGTGAGTCTAACATGGGACTAGATCATGTGCTGGATGTTGGGAGAAATACAAGAATTGCAGATAACCATGAACGATTTGTTTCAGAGTTCCTGGGTTTGAAAAAGGATCACATAATAATCAGGATTAATTACGAATTCACAATGAAACAGCATAATGAGATTTTTTTAAGTCAGGAAACTGACTCAAAATCAGTGTCAGAACTTATTTTTCTGTGCTAGAATTCTCTCTCTCTCTCTCTCTCTCTCTCACACACACACACACACACACACACAAGCAATAGAAATGAATGCACTGAACCAAGCAGAATCAGGACTTTACTGGAAAGATGGGTAAGTTTTGCAATCGCAGAATTGCACTTGCAAAGGCGTAGATTGGTTTTAAACCCGTAAACCAGGACAAGAAAACCGTCCGTGCGGTATTAACTTCTGAGCAGAAATGTTGGGGGTTTTAACTACTGTAAACGACAGTTTTTCTGGACCAGTACGTAGTGGAGATTTTTTTTCTTTTTTCTAAGTGAGCCAAATTTTCCTTGAGTTCCCTCCCCTTTTTGTTTGTTTGTGTGTTTCTCTTCCTTTGTCCCTGTCCCTGCTCCCTGTCTCCACACAGTAACTGCTGGGATGGCGATTGGGCAGCTGGAGAGGCCAGGACTCAGTTCCCCTGCCCTAGTCTGGGCGTTGTGGGTGGGACTCCAACACAGAGAGCTGATTTTCCAAAGCAGGTTTCTTTGCAGTTTTCCAACACTTTGGCTGCGCTAAACCCGAGGCAAAAGGCAAAGAGCAGCCGGGGAGCCGCCCCAGGCGACCGACACCTGCGGAAGGAGAGGGGGCGGGGAGCGTCACGAGCATCGGCGGGACCCAGACCCTGAGTGACCTCACCATGGTGCGTTTTAGTCGCTACTTTCTTTTTCAGTCTTTCGGTGCTGGGAAGGGGAAGGATTCTGAAAAGAACTTGAATGCCGTAGGGAAAGGGATTGTAAGGGATCCTTTGCAGTCATCAGAAGAGAGAGAGATACGGAGACAGGGAGGGACCACGGCCAGAGCTGATTGAGTGTTTGGGAGCAGAGCGGGGAATCCGGCTTGCGAGGCTCGTCGCGTCCCGCCCAGCCTGTTGAGCAGGTAGACCGGAGTGAGCCCAAGTGTGAATACCGCGGTCGCGTGTTTGGAGGCTGCACTCGCGCCCCGACTGACAGGTGCGGCTGCAGGGTCCCTCTCCCGCTCACCCTCCTGTCCCTGACGCCCACTCTCTCTGCGTTCGCAGTGGGGATTTGCCAGGCGCACCCTGGAGCTGCCGGAGATCCGGAAACGCAGCCGCGAGGTCTGCGAAGCCAGCGAGTAAGTGGTCGGTCTCCGAGTGCCCACGCGGCTCGGGGCTCCCCAGAGAGGCAGTCCTTCTCCCCGGGCCCCTGGCCTCGGCTCATCCCCGTCCCCCTCCCTGGGAAGACTTCCGCGCGCTCCCAGCTGCTCAGCCCCTGGGGGCCGGGGCCCGGTTCCCACGGCGGGGAGGAGCGAGGGAGCCAAGGGGACGGCGCCCGGGGGGCCCGGCTCAGGGCCCGGGGGAGCTGCGGGGCCCGAGGGAAGACGACTGACGGGGGTGGGCGCCGGGCCGCGCAGCGCCCGCGGCGGCGCTCGGAGAGCCGGGGCGTGAGAACGCGCGGGGCGCGCGGGGGCCGCTGCTCTCCCACGGCCGGGGCGCCGGGGCCTCGGGCGCACGCGAGGGCCAGCTGCGGCAGCAAAGGGCCGCCGGGACCTGAGAGCCGGCCGGGGCTCGAGGCCGCGCCCCGGCTCCACCGCAACTTCACCCCGCCGGCTGCTGCGTGGGCGAACCCTTCGCCCTTGTAGAGAGCAAACAGCTGCGATCGCTCGATTGCTTAGAGAAAGCATGCAGCAAACTTCCAGCAGGGCTGCTCGGGGCTGGACCCAAGAGTAAGTGTGTGCGTGCGTGCGTGTGTGTGTGTGTGTGTGTGTGTGTGTGTACGCGCGTGGTCTAATTTGGCAGACCATTTTTCTGTTCTCATTATGACTGCAGCACTTGGGGAGATGGTGAGCAGGGGATCACAAGCGTCTCTGCGCGTCGCGTCTGTGCCTGCAGCCTGAGCTTGCTGAGCTGAGCAGCCTCAGTGGCACTTGTGTGAGGGGCTGCCGTGCATCGTAGTCATGTGATTTCAGGCTGTGGATTTCGTGCGTCTTTCTTTCGCTCACTTACTTCCTACGGTTCTTCATTTTGCACTGGATGAAGTTTGTATCTTCTGAAGTAATCCAGGTTGAACCTCTCCCTTAATGGTAACCGGTCAGAGTCACCTTGTTTCCAACATACGGAAAACTCGTCCGAGTTTTAAATACAACAGGCCATATTGTGTGTGTGTGCGTGTGTGTGCGTGCGTGCATTTATTTTGTATCAGTAGTGATTTTTCAGGGTCAGTCTTCTGATGGTGATATCATTAAATGTCTACCTACTTACTTGAACTGGTCTTGTGGGAACATCATTAACCCCCTGGTTACATACATAAACGTCGAAGCGCTTAATGATAGAGGCTTTTAAATCTTAGTTCATAATGTGGAAGTAATCTGTTGCTTTTCCTAAAATGGCTATATGTCTCTTCAGGAGTGGTCATGTCAGGTGCTATACTATGAAGAGTGGTAAAAAATCAGTAACAATAAAAATATAACAACAATATGAAAATCTAAGATTCCAAAGCAAACTTTAATTTGTCAAAAAGCTGTATAAGCTTTATTACTCTTTGAGTGAGATTGTCTGTGTAGTCTGTGTTCTGCTAAGTTATTAAACAACTGGGTCGGTAGATCTTCTTCAAGGAGTCATGAAGCCCCTGATACTGTATTTAAACATTTGAATCGCTGCATTTTTAGGGCGATGGTCCAGAGTTCTCAGATATCCAAAGGGATCTTTGACCCAACAGAAAAATAACCACAAAGTTAAAATATATGAGCTTTACTTTTTCTTGTCAAAACAATAGGCTTTCTACATAAAGCCTGCAGACATAAAATGGTAGGAAAAATTCTAGAATAACTCATGTTATAATAATTAAACATTTCATATAAGATAGGCCCACTTGTATGTTTTTAAATGTATCAGGAAACTTAGGTAGGGGAACTTTATTTAGTAGAAATTTGTGATGAATACATAGGTACATTCTGTTTCTTCTGCTGTAAGATCTCTTTCTAGTATGACACAGAAAATAAAAATTATATTTTTCACTATTTGAAACCCAACAGAAATATAAAGTACTTATATTTGGTATGGTGTTTCAAAGTGTGTGAATATAAATTATCCCTTAAAGGCCATGTTTTTAGATGTCCAGGTATAGAATATCTAAGATAGTTTTCTGTCATTTAGAGAATGTGGAAGAAAATGTAAAGGTATTTGACTTATATCTGGCAACACCAAAGGAAAAAGAAATGTGGGAAACTTCGTAAGTCTTAGTCCTTATATTTCTTACAACTATGGTTTATGAAACAATCTTATTTTAAGGCATTATTTTGAAAAACTGTTTTAATATTGCACTGAAAACTAAAGAAATGATAACTGAAATGAAATTATTTCTATTATGAATACATCAATAAAATATTTTTGTGCCTAAATGTCAACTGTTATGTCATAGATATTTTTCAAACAAAAAGACTTAAATTTTTAGTTAATACCAGGTTGGTTTGTTTTCTATAAATTAAGATTGGATAACCTTGAATTTTGTCAGAATTCATATCAGGGAAATTAAATCCTGTATTTACATTTGTAGATCACATTTGCTAACAATTAATAATGACTGTAGGGGGGAGAATATTTATTTTTTTAATAGTATCAGTACCCAAAAAATCTCTAGTTAAAAATCAAATTAGCCTTAAGAATTAATTTCTCCATGTAAGGAGAAGTAGAAAGCTAAAACAGTATTTGGGGAAATCAAAAAATATGTTACTGATGGGAAAATTTTTTGGAGGAAATTAGTTATTGAGAATATTTTCCATATGTCAGATTTGCCAGCAAGCTCCTTAGCTTCTCTTTTTTTTGCTGGGATAAATAACTTTTATGGCACTGATTTTTATACCATTTAATTATAGATATTCACCCAAGCTACTTTTCTTAAATACTACTAATTACTTTTCTGTATATTTGTAGAAAGAGATATTTTTCTTCATAAAATATCAATAAATTTAGTTTTTAGTCTCTAGACCATCTGGATTTACTCAGTAGGTATTTGTTAGGTGCCTATGCAATAGTTTTGAGTATTTCTACCTTGACCTGATACAAGAAGGGTTTTTGACAATTTTTAGGTTTTTATATGAACAAATTTGGCTGTCCATGGACTACTCGACTTATTTGGGGTTGGAATAATGTTTGGCTATCCTGAATCACATTTGCTTGTTTTATTTCTCTCAAACCGTTTAGAAGTGTCTGACCTATTTCATATTTTTTTCTCTCTCCTGGGTTCAGGCCAACAGATTTTATCTTCCTATAGTCATGAGGGTTATAGAGTATGAATAGAATTATTTGCAAGGAGTGAAGAGCTTTAGGTAAGCTCCCTCCTCAGCCTACAGTAGGAAAGAATGATTACCTTATAAAACTTGAGGGTCTCTGGGGCATGATTACCCCTTCCCACAAAAATGTGATTTTCACTGCTTGTAGTTACTCATATCACTAACCGGAAATGCTTTCTGGCAATTAATACTTGTTTTATAATATGAACCCTCCCTTTCAGAAAATCAAAGGCAACTCAATTTAATTAACTCACCACATACCACCACCTCCTACTCACCACGGTAGGAATTAGCAAGAAACCAACAGAAGACAATGGCTTTGGGAGTAAACACCCGGGGGGGAAAGGAAGTTGAGCAGACCAAAAAAAACTTCTTAATCCTGAATATTTTTTCCAGGTCTGACCTATCTACATGTCTCCTTTCTCTATGTGGCATTACATTAAAAATACCTGTAAATATGTCTATATTGCCTACCGAACTCAGATCTCTTTCAGGATACTCATCACTGGATCCACAGTACCTGGCACATAGTAGGTGTCTAATAAGATTAATTGTGTTGTCTTTGTAATTACTGAATTAAGGGTTTTTTTATGACTTGATACTATAAATTATTCTGTTCAAGAATACGATTTTTTAAAGAAATACTTGTTTTGCACTGATGCTCAATGGAATATTATGGTCTTGATCATCCAGAGACATTGCTGTGCTCTTCTCTCGTATGGCTTTCAGCCTGTTCAGAACTGCTTGTAAACTGTTACTTCTTTCACCATCGTCCAATTACCCTTTGTTTTTTTAAATTTACATCTTTCACTTGTGTTACCCTGCCCCCATTACCAGTGCTTTTTGACCTCCTGAACATTCGACTTTCCTTGGGAATCTAAAATAATGGAGGTTTTTCATCAGCTGTCATTGTTCAGGGCTTCATTCAACGGATTCACTCTACGGATTTGGCTTTCACAGGACCATAACCTGCTCGACCTCTCTCTGGGAGTCCGCTGGTATTCGCCCACTTGGGCCTTCTCATCACTCAGGATTGCGCTGGCTGAACGAAAACCTAAGCATTTCATAGTCTTTCTTACCAACAACCTCTTATCCCTCCCCTAATTCCACTCACTCATCACCACCCAACACCCTTCTCTCCCATTACTGTTCGTTGGCCGCCCCCAATTTTCTCATGTTTTCCTCCTTACTTACCACACTCGTCTTGAACAGCAACGTCAACTCTGCTTCAGACTTCAGATCTCTTGCCACGAGAGCTACCGGAATCTGATTCACTCTAACTTCAGCTTAAGAGATGGTTAACAGTGCTAAGAAGTTAGTGTATCCTCTCTTGGATAATTCCATATCAAATTCTCTCATAGTATGAGCAAGTCTCCTCATAATACTTGTTCCAGATTTTTCTAGGTTTTCCGTCTGCCCACATTAGCCTTACTCTTTTCATTCTTGGCAGATGACCTTATTTCCCTATTCACAGAGAATATTAAGACCAATTTAGGCAAATCATTTATCAAGATTCATCTGGAACTTAGGAGGCATTTCTTTATTTGACCCATCTTGAGCATAAGAACTCTTTTCTTATATAGAACAATACTATTTATCTCTGTAATATTCATATCCTGATTATTACCTCTTAGAGTACTCACACAAAATGCTTTTATATATGACAACTCTTGTGTCTCTATTGGTACTATCCAGTTCCTTCAACTCATCCTTATTTGACATGACTTGAAAGTCTCATTATCATCAGGGAACTTCTCTTTTGGATGCACTCCTGTTTTTCTTAAAGTGTGGGCCCTAGAGCTGAACATAGATGAGCGGACTGCTATCATTAGATATATCTGGCTAAGTCCTCTGGATATCGTATAGTAAATCATCCTAAAATCTAATCTGTTTTTCCCCCATTTTTTTTTTTTTTTGCATCCACACTACATTGTTTATTATGGATCCTTTTGTCCGTACTCTTCTGCAGATTATTTCTCCTCAGTTGTACATTTGGCCACTTGAGTTGGGACTTTTAAAAATACTTACTGCAATTAAATATAATCTTTACCTTTAGTTAGTCTATTGTTCCAGAAGGTCAAGGTATTTTTGGATTCTGATTCCTTGATAAAGATTAGCTATTCTTCCCAATTTAGCAACATTAATAGATTTGATTAGGGTACAATTAAGATCTTCATCCAAGTAACTGCAAAATGCTGAACTGGAAGGACATCTGGCACAATCCTAGATCCTAGACACCTTCTTCTTGCTTTACATTAGTCTATGAATTAGTAGTCCTCTTTATGAGGATGTCCAGCCAAATATATCATCAATATCTCTTTCTTTGGAGTTTACATTCCTTTGTGTAGCCCAGGAATATACTGTGACAGACTTGGTCAAATTCCTTGGGAAAATGCATTTCTACTTTCTGCAGAATAGATACCAAGTTATTATTT